AGATGGAGAAGCTCGACCTGCCAATGAACTTGGTGAAGACGTGCGTCCTCTGTTCGACGTCGGAGCTCGCGGGCGCGCTGTTGGCGGACAGTCGCTGGCCGTTCGATGAGTCTTTTTTCGCTTCCACCCACCGTGATCTCGGTGGGGACGCCTCCGACGGCAAGGGCCGTCGGGCGCCCACGCAGCGCGCTCGCCTGTCTGCCGCGTCGGCTGCAGCGACTCGGCTCACCAAAATCGGGCGGGGTAGGGAGGCCTCTCGGGTCCACAGGGCGGGTCCAGTCGCTAAGGCCACGTGGGGTGCACACATTAATGGTCTTGGGAATTCGGCTCTGCGGACTCTGAGGGTGGCCGCTGCCAGGTCCTTCGGCCCCCTTCAGCCTGGCTCCTCCCTTGGCCTCACCTTCCTCCTTTGTGGGGCCCCCCAGCGTGACCCTCTCGTTTCAACGACGGTGGACGCCGTCAAGGCGTTTGTGTCAGTTTGGTGGCACCGCAGCGTCACGAAGCAGGTGCTCCTCTCGGCGTTTGAAGACGCGCTCCTGTCTGCGAGCAAACCCAGGCCCTCTGGCTCCGCCAAGCAGCCTCTGGCTGCCCTTGTTCTGACGCTTGCTCGGATCCGTTGGAGGTTGGATGTCCCAAATGAGGTTTTGGTTGACCAGGCGGGTCGCTCCTGGAGTTTGTCTGAGTTTTCCCCAGCCTTCTTCGCCCTTCGCGTGTGCGAAGCGTGCGAGGAAGCTATTGTGATGGAAGAGCAGGTTCGGCAGAGTGATTTTGGCGCCGAGTGGCGCGGCCCCATCTGTCTCAAGTTGGCTCTCGATTTGATTTCGAAGCAAAGCTCAGTCTGGTCTGATCAGTGTCGTCACTGCTTGCGCAGCCTGGTTGCCAATAGGTATTGGTGCCAGCAGCGATGTCACGACGCCTGTCAGGACATCTCTCCTGCTTGGTCTGCCAGGCTCCCTCGGGCACCATGTTTCATCGTCGCTTCGATTGCCCTGCCCACGAGGCGTGGCGGCGCGATGTGTTGAGCCCGGACTTGCGTCGGGCGGCGGATCGCGTGCGCCTCCTCTCACCCAGAGCCCAAGAGCTATTTGCCAGGTGCGTGCTCCCTGACCCCACTTGTTGGTTCACTCGCCCCTCTGAGCACCCCGAGGCCACGGTCTACAGGCACAATTGGCCCGCCGATGGTCTGGTGCTTGGAGAGGGGGCGCATCATGTGTTCATAGACGGCTCGTGCTACGAGCCTGCTCTCCCTAGGATTCGATCGGCGGGATGGGCGGTGATTGTGACGGACGGGCGGGGGAAAGTTGCCCGTGCGATATGGGGGCGTGTGCCCTTAAGCGTTGCTCCAGCCCAGGTCGCTCGCGACGGTGAGGACTACGCTGTGGTCTCCCTTGTCCGCCATGCTACAGTTTTCCCCGGGGCCAACTTGTATGGGGACTGTGCGGGGACCCTTGGGTATGTTTCGGACCCAGTGGGAGCTGTGTGTCCCGATAATGCTCGAGCGCATATGTGGCAGCATGTGTATGATAAGCTTGACGGTGTGCGGTGGCATAAAGTGCCAGCCCATAGCATCCTTCGTGATGTCGAGAATGGAAAGCTCAGTCGACTTGAGTATCTCGACAACAAGGCTGCGGACGAATATGCGAAGAAGGGTGCCTCTTTGGGTAGAATCGCTGCCGCCGATCGTGCCGTCGTCGATGGTTGCTTCGAGTTGGCCCGTCTTCTTTGTAAATTCTCGGCTGAGCAAGAGGCTCGGATTGGAGACAGTCAGCAGTTCGACCATGTCGGCATCGATTGGCTTAGGCACATCACCCTTGAGGTCCCTCCTCTCCCCGACGAGGTTCCTCCACCTCCTCCTCCTCCTCCTCCTGTGCCTCCTCCTCCTCCTGGGAGTTGCGGGACGGGTCGGGAGTCGGGGAGGGTGGGCGAGGAAGGTAAGGAGGGCAGGGCCGAATGGCCCGACCTCCATGTCTGGCCAGCCCGCGCCCACCACATCATCGAGTGTGGGGTCACGGACCCCGCGGGGGCTGCGGCCGGCTCCCTGGCCTTCTGTATTCGCTGCGGCTCGGTTTGTGCCGTAGGAGGGCACGGGGGAAAAACGGCTCTAGCGTCAGATTGTCTGGGCCACCGTTCCTCGGGTCGTGAGAGGCAGTTGGATTGGATATTGCGCGGCCGCCATCCTTCGAAGCAAGGGTTTCGGGTCTCGCGAGCGGCCGTGTTATCGGATCCCTCTCGAGACTACTTGGCAGCCAAGATGGGTCTGGACGACCTCCCGCAGCTAGCGCCGCCTCTGTCCAGAGGCTCTCTTGCGTCCATGCCGGGCGGGGGTGGGTGTGCTTGGGCGGGGACTGGGGTCGACCTTCTGCGAGGCCTGTCACTTTTTGGTTTCCGCTTTCGGGAAGAGGCGGAGTCGCTCGGGCTTCGAGCGCAAGAGCGCCGCCGGCAGGTTGTGCCGCCCGGGGAGGATTTTGACCCCCCCTAAGTCGTTTGGAGTTTGCTTGATGCATGTTTAATGTGGTGGCACCTTTCTAGCCGTTGCCGAGCTCCTCCTCCTCCTCCTCCTCCTCCTCCTCCTCCTCCTCCTCCTCCTCCTCCTCCTCCTCCTCCCTCTTCGATCCTCCTACTGCGCGTCCCCCTCGCGGACAGCCCTGACCCGCGACACCCCCGCACCGCGGCGCCCGCAGGCGCACGCACTGGCGCACCCGCGGCCGCACACGCGCCCGCCCAGTGCACAGCTTTTCTGGAAAGGGGTCGGAGGGAGGGAGGGCGGGGGACCGTACTCCAAATCCCTTATTCATCGATCCCCCCCTGAAAAACCGGACCCCCCTCCAAATGCGACCGAATATTCCAGACCCCTTTCTTCGACGGGGCGCTTACTGAACTGGACCTCCTAAGCTCCACTTCGCAGAAAGCGCCCTAATAAGCCGTACCCCCGCAGTTACAAAAAGGGCACCTTAAAAAACCGGACCCGGGGGACGATTAATAAGCGAATTGGAGTATTATCATGTTTTTTTCCAGGCGATCGCAAACGTGGATCAAAGGGGCGTGGATTAGCGACGGGTCCCGTTTCCATTGGGGATCGCGGATTTCCGCCGCCGAGCGAGGCGGCACCAGCCGCGTTTTGGGGAGGGTACCTCCCCCGATCCATGGATCTGGCGACCGCGCGCCCAATCCATGGATCGCTAATCCATGTTTGCGCGCCTCCGATTCACGGAGGGAGGATACTCGATCTTCTTTGTTCTTCCCTCTCTCTCTCTCTCTCTCCTTTCTCTCTCTCTCTCTCTCTCTCCTCTCTCTCTCTCTCTCTCTCTCCTTCGGCCCTGGTGTCGTCCTGACGCGGCCATCGCCCCCCCGGCAGCGGTCGCTGCTGGCATTTTTTGATCAGAAGCTCGTGAGCCACGCGGCGGGCCCACGGGGCTGCAGGCAGGCGACGGGCGACAGAAATCCTGAAGATTGCTTGGCACACCAGTCAAGATCCTCAAGAAATCCTCAAGATTGCTTGGCACACCAGTCAAGAAATCCTCAAGATTGCTTGGCACACCAGTACAGCACCCTCCCCGCCCCAGTCAGATTCCACCGACAAGCTCTCCTGGCGGAAGACCTGACGAGCGTGGCGAGTCGATCCTCCTTCTCCTGCTCTTGCTTCTGCTGCTCCTCCTCGTCCGCCTCCTCCTCCTCCTCCTCCTCCTCCTCCTCCTCCCCCTCCTCCTCCCCTGAGATCTGGTCTTGCAGAAACCCGCGACGTCGCGAAACATGTCGACCGGAACCCTGGGCCCCGTCTTGTCGCGTCGTCCTGCGGGCCTGATCGGTGCATGAACGTCCTTTGGGCCCGAAGTTGGGCGTGGACGCCCGGTATGAAAATATGGCAGTGCCGAGGTCTCAGGGTTCTCCCTTGCTCCTCCTCCTCCTCCTCCCTCGATCCTCCTCCTCCTCCTCCTCCTCCTCCTCCTCCTCCTTCTCTCTCGATCCTCCTCTTCCTTCTCCCTCGATCCTCCTCCTGCTTCTCCTCCTCCTCCCTCGGTCCTCCTCCTTCTCCTCGTCCTCTCCTCCTCCTCCTTCCTCGATCCATGCCTTTTCCTTAGGGCTACCTTCTCCTTGTCGCACTCTGGGGCCCGTCGGAAAGGCAGGCTGGGCGTTTCGCCTGGGGCTTACAATCGATCATCCTGAAGATTAAGATATTCAGCAATTTCCCGGATGGATGGCAGGCCGCTTTCAAAAGGTGGTTCTTGCTTTTGATCTGCGCATATCCGTCGCTAAACATCAGCAGCTTCACACTTCGAGCACAGGCAATGTTCAAAATGTGGCTCTCGCCCTAGCGACGCGCACATTCATCAACAAAATGCAGTCGTTTCACGGATTGAGGGCGGGCCGTTTTCAAAATGTGGCTCTCGCCCTAGCGATAACACGTGCAAGAGCTTCACGGATGTAGTGCGATTCTTTTTCAACATGTTGTTCTCGTTCAGCGTCGTCGCACGGATTTGTTCTAATGGCGTACACTAGTTTCAAATATATTCGTTGTCATCTTCCTGTAAGAGATGTTTTGGCACGATGTCGGAACGTCAGGGTGCAACAGTTACGTTGGTCCCAGAAATGGCGTTTTGTCGCGGTTCTGGATCGTCAAGACGCAACAGTAACGGTAATTCGCGGCGTTGAAGTCTTAGGAGTGCTGTTCTGGCACAGTTCAGGATTTTCGAACGGTTATCTTCCAACGGAGTACTTTCTTCAGAGAAAAACATATCTTTGGAGATGGCAATGAAAATGGAGCTTGGAGGGAGGATGTATTGCATCATCGTTGATGTGTCTTGGGTTTCCAGTGGTCCTTCTCCTCCTCCTCCCTCGATCCTCCTCCTCCTCCTCCTCCTCCTCTTCCTTTCTCGATCCTCATCCTCCTCTTCCTCCTCCTCCTCCCTCGTCTCCTCCTCCTCCTCCTCCTACTCCTCCTACTCCTCCTCCCTCGATCGTCCTCGTCCTCCTCCTCATGCGAGCCCCCCCCCCCCTTGCAGGAGGAGCTCTCCAAGGTGCTGGAGGAGCACGCCGCGCTGCGTGGGGCCCTCCGCAGGGCCGGCGAGCGCGCGGAGGACCTGCGGCCAGGGGGTCGTCGTCGCCGCCGTCGCCGTCGTCGCCGACGTCGTCGTCGTCGTCGTCGTCGTCGTCGTCGTCGTCGTCTTGTGCCTCGGCATGGGCTCATTTCGACTCCTCCGATTCGAGTCGATTTCGATTAAACCCGATTCCGGTTGCGATTTGTTTCCCGCGATCCCATTCATGTCGATGGCCGATCCGACTTCTCGATTCGACTCTGGGCCATCCTGCCACGCGCAGGGGGGTCTCTTCGCCGAAGTGGCATGTGGTGCCGGCCCGCCACAGACGACCCCTCTCGGGACATGTTGAAAAAACGACGGAAGGTTTCCAAGCTATCGTCGGCCTCTGGGGGCCCACGCCGAGCCTTGGGACCGTTCGGGATGAAGCACCACAGGCCTGGCCGTGTGTCATCTCGCGCAAGGCCCATTTATGATCGTCGGTCAGTTGGGCTCGAGCCAGGCTCGGCCAAGCCTGGCCCCCAGGGCGATGGCCATGCGGCCGTGCCGCGCGGATTTTTTGGATCCGCGTTGGACCCCCCTCCCTGGCGCGCGGAGTGCGCCAGGGGCGGCGCTGGAGGCGCCGCCGGGCCGCTCCGGCGCAGACTTACGGAAACCGCGCGGAGCGTCGAAAGTTTATGTTTCTTGCGTTTTCTGTTTCTCTTCGAGGATCGTCGGCTCGAGCCGGTGTGGAGGAGGAGGAGGAGGAGGAGGAGGAGGAGGAGGAGGAGGAGCAGGAGGGCTCGAGCCGGGCTCGGCCACGCCTGGCCCCATCGGGGGCGATGGCCCCGCGGCCGCGCCTCGCCGCCCCGCGCGCGGCGCCCGCGCCCGCCGCGGGGGCCGCGGCGCGGCGGGGGGCCGCGGCGGCGGTGCAGCCCTCGGGCGCGGAGGCGGCCTCGGGGCCGGGTGGCCGCGGCCGGCCCTGGAGGATGGGGCGCGACGGCTGGGGAGAAGCCAGACCCCCTCGAGGAAGGAACAAATCGCAGGGCTGGACTCAAAAGCACTGTTTTTCAGAGCGTGAATTACCTACCCCGCTTTCGCTTCCAGGAAAAACCAAGTCATACCACGCGCCTCCTCGTCAAGCGACCTGACCAGCACAGGCCGCAGTTTGGCATCGCTTGGTATCTCTTGGAAGCGAGGGTGGTCAAAAGGAGGATCGGGCGCGACGGCTGTCGCAGGCCTAGAGGTTGACACCAGCACCAATTTCGGCGGTGTGCCTCCACCGAGGGAAGGAGATCCCGATCTCGGTGGTGGTGGTAATATTCTGGCTTCCAAGGTGGCCGAAATATCACCACCAACACCAAAATCTAGGATCACCTTCCCCCTGTGGAGGCAACCCCCTGTGTTGGTGTTGGTGCCCATTTCCAGGTCTCTAAGGCTGGGGAGAAGCCAGACCCCCTCGAGGAAGGAACAAATCGCAGGGCTGGGCTCAGAAGCGCCGTTTGTTGCTGGATTTCGGCTGTGTTTTGTGTTTCGTGGTTGGGGGGGTGCAGGAAAACATGTGCAGCAAGACGAACACACGAAACGAAAGCAACACGAAAAACAACGTTTATGTCCAGCTCGGGAAAATCATGACGGGAGGTTTTTGACAATTTTCGGCATCTGGGATCCTCTGCCGGGCCTCGGGGCCGTCAAGAAACGACTCAGGATGAGAAGCTGGTCCCATGGAATGGGTCGAGACCTCTGGGGGTCGACGTTGTGAGAAGATCATGACGTCGGGGGTCTGGAAACACAGTGGGGGGCGCGCATCAAGAAACCATGTGTTTTTCGTGTGGGTATATGCTGGGCTTCTTCGCTCCGCGCGCTGCGCGGCGACTCCTCGCAGCCGTGGAAGGCTGCTGCGTTTGGGTGTCCTTTAGGGTGCACCAATGCGCGCGGGTTTCCGGCCGGGGTTGGGTTTCTTGCGAGGGATTTTTCCGGCCGCGCCCACACTGTAGCCCAGTGGCGAGCATTATTCATATTCGCCCGGGAGCTTCGCCGAAGTCATGGACCATCGACTCCCTTGGATACATTTATTGTTCTCCTGTGGGCTAGTCGCCCCCATCGTCGCCCCCGAAAGGATCGGGTGCTGGAACCAGCACAGGGTGGGGAGCTATGTTCGGGGAGACGTAAGGCTCGAGTTCTCAGATGACGAGGGGAAGGTGCGGTAGGCCGACGCGGCAGCGACCCCGCCGCGGGCGTTCGAGGTTGAACGCCGCCAGTGGCCCAGAGCCGAGTGTGCAACGAATGGACGAACGAGAAACCGCCGATCGTTCAAGGTTGAACGACCCACGCGTTGTAAGAAGACCCTTCGGTAGCAACTCATGGGAGTTTTGCGTATCCTCCGGATTCAGTCTTCCGAGTACATTCGCGTGCGATGCCGTCTGGCAGTCGATGAGGAAGCGTCGATTCAGCGTCGGTTAGCGTCGACTCGCATCGGTTCGCGTCGGTTCGCAAGAGTCAGCAAGATGGCGGGGGATGCTCCCTTGAGTTGCCACCGATAGATTTGAGTTCTTAGAAGCGGAAAGGGCACAGCTACTGCTGTTTTTTTCTGGAGAGCCCCTCGTCGTCGCTGCGGGATTAGTCGTCGGACTTCTGGTCAGAACGCACCCTGGGAGAGATCGAGGGAGTAGAGGTGTCGGTAACTCTACGCTTCAGGAAGTTCGCTGGAGCTCGGGATTGCCGGTGCTTGCTGACGGGCCCGCCCTGAGGCTTGACGATCAGGTTGTCCTGGGATGCTTGCAGCAGGAGCCTTCGTCAGAGGTTCAGGCCGGGTTGCGTCCTTTTCCTGTCGGCCCCGCCGAGCAAACCAGCGTCCCCCGAATCCGAGTCTTACGTTTCCCCGACGTGCGCAGCAGGCTTGCCCCTGGGTGCCCCGCCTCAAGGCAGGGGTGGACCTGAACAGTGTGTTTGGCGATTTCGTCGGCTGTTTTCGCTTCGATTCCGTTTTGCGTTCACGGCGGATCGAAGACGAAACGAGGGAACACGAGAACGAGGCGAAGACGGACAGAAACCGTTCAGGTTCAGCCCTGCCTCCAGGCCCTGGGCACCAGCGCCGCCGAGCGGGACCAGCTGCTGCGCACGCTGCGCGTGCAGTACCGCGCGGAGGAGCTGCGCCGCTGGGCGGCGTCCTACGACGTCGTGGCCCTCCAGGAGTTCGACGAGCCGCTGCGGGAGGCGCTGCTCGGCGGCTCTGCGCCTGGCGGCACGGGGCGGCTCCTGGAGAGCGACCAGCACGTGCCGAGGAAGGAACGGCGCCAGGAGCACAAACTCGTGGCGCTCTGCGCGGACTTCTTGGACCCGCGCTGGGCCCCCCCTGGCGGCGCCTCCGGCGCCGCCCCTGGCGCGATCCAGGGGGGGGGCCCCGCGCAGATCCAAGAAGTCCGCGCGGAGCGCCAAAAGTTCATGTTTCCTCCAAATCCCCTAGTAATCCTTCACCAGGGTCCGGTTTCTGGGGGCGCCTTTTTGGGAAATTGGGGGGGGTCCGGTTCATGGGGGCGTTTTCTGTGGATTGAAGCTTGTGTATATATATATATATATATATTAAAGAAAAAAAAGAGAAAAAAAAAGCTGCCATCCACAGAAAGAGCCTCAATAAACCAGACCCCCTATAGGGGGTCGGGTTCATTAAGGCGCCCCGTCGAAGGGGGGGGTCCGGAATAGTAGGTCGCACTTGGAGGGGGGTCCGGTTTTGTACGGGGAGGGGTCGATCAATAAGGGCTTTGGAGCATGGCGCTTTTGCTTCCTCATGGCGTGGACGGGCGCGGCGTGCGCGTGGACTCCCGCGTTGCGCTGCTGCTCCAGGGGCCGGCGGTGGGGGCCGTGGCGCGGTGCGAGGTGCGCGTGCCCCTGCGCCGCGGGGGCGGCTTCGCGGCCCGCGAGCACGTGGCGGCGCTGCTGCGGCGCGGCGGGCCGCCAGGGCTGGAGTGAAGTCGGGCGTGTCCCTCCCCGTACATGCTCGCGTCGTAACAAAAGCAGGACGGCAAGTGTTTTACTATTTTCGGCCATTGGGGGCCCTCGCCGGGCTCCGGGAGCGTCAAACAACTACTCAGGATGAGAAACCTGTCTCGTGGAATGGGTCGAGACTTCTGAGGGTCGACGTTATGACAAAAATCATGACGTCGGGGGTCTGTGGAGGAGGAACGTTCGGAAAGAATCTAACAAATAATGGGGGGACGATTTGTTGACTATTGTTGATCTTTTTGTTGCATTCTGGGGCATCTTTTTTATACGTGTTTCGTCCCAAATCCGCATGTCGGAGGACATGCCCGACCTGAGGCTGGAGGAGCGTCCGGCGCTGGTGGCGTGCTCGGTGCACCTGCACCCTCCCGAGAGCGCGGACGGCGCGGCGTACGTCGCTTACCAGGAGAACGAAGGCTGACATAAACATAAAACCTCGGAGGTCCGCGCGGATTTCTCGGATCGACGCTTGGGCCCCCTGGCGGCGCCTGCGCGCTCCGCGCGCCAGGGATGGGGTCCAGCGCGGATATCAGAAATCCGCACGGACGTCCGAGTTTCTATGTTCATGCTATTTCTTTCGTTCCCCTAGCTTACCTTGAGCCTCTGAAGGGGATCCTCGAGGAGCTGGAAGCGGCGGCGGGCGCCACGGACGCGGGCGCCCCCGCCGAGGTCGTCCTCGCGGGGGACTTCAACGTCTCCGCGGACGACTTCCAGCGCCTGACCGTCGCCGACCCGTTCTGGCAGGGCTTCACCGCGGTGGTGCCCACGGAGGCTCCGTCAGTACCGTTTGACCGATCCCTGCCCCCATCCCCAGCCACACCTCGAGCCCCACCGTCTCACCACCCCAGTCGGGGACCTGCCCCTCGGAACCCGAGGAGGCCAGCCCCTATCCCCTTATCAGGGGGGTACATCGGCCAGTGGGGCCCGGCCCACGCTGGTGAGGATGGAGCTCGCTTCAACGGTGCTCACTCAGAGGAAGGGCGCGCCGCCGCCACCGCCCACGGCAGCAACCCCTGCGCGACGGGCGACTTCATGCTGTCCCGGAGGGCGGGCGGCCCCGCGGAGCCGCAGCGGGGGCCGCGGTGGCGGTGCCGCGCGGGGGGGCCCGCCGACTTCGGCGACTTCTCCGCCTTCGCGGAGGGCGTCTTCGCGGACGCCGCGGCGCGGCTCCCGCTGCTGCGGGCCTGCGCCGACGCCGGGCGCGCCAGCGAAGGCCTCGGCAGGGCCCTGCACGCGCTGGGCGAGGCGTGGTTACCACGCGCAAGAGGGGCCCCTCGCCGGAGTGACCTCCTCGTGCGCGGCCTTCGGGGGGCGCGGGGGGTGGGGGCCAGGCCCAAGCGGGGCAGGCCGCTGCCGCTCCTGCCGCGCTGTGATGGGCCCTTTCTCCACCACCACTACCATATGTAGGAGAGGGAGGAGGAGGAGGAGGAGGAGGAGGAGGAGGAGGAGGAGGAGGCTCCCCCGTCCTACATATGGTAGCGGCACGCTGCACGCAGTGTTCGGTAGGCCCCGCACCAGAGGTCACTTCAGCCCGGGGCCACGTCCTGCGTGTGGCCGAGAGGCCCCCGGGCCCGCGCCGCGCCCGCGGCCGCCCCCTCCGCCGCGGGCCTGCCCCGCGCCCGCCGCCCCGCGGCCGGGGCCTCCCGCTGGGCCGCCGCCGGGCGGCGCGGCGCCGGAGCGGCGCGAGTTGCTGGCGTGCCGCGCGGCGCTGGCGCGCGCGGCGGCGGAGCCTCGAAGAGCAAACATCAGCATCAGCATTGACCTCTCGGGTTATGATGTGCCAACTTACTTTTTAGCCTCGAGCACCAGAAAGAACTTCGAGCACCAAGAAAGTACCGCAACTGCAGGGGCTTTCACGTGTCGCGCCCTGGGAGGCGATACCCGTTCGACGCCGTTTCGATACCTGTCTGGGTGCTCGAAATTATGAATCGCTTCGCTCATTCCGCCGGCCCTGGAGCCCTCTTTAGGGCCTCTTGGGGGCCTCTTTGGGACCTTTTGGGAATCTCTTGGGGCTCCTTGGCGGGGGGTAGTCGATTGCGGCTCCCCCCTCTGAGGCCACGATCCTCGTGAGGGGTGTCGAAAAATTGCCCGGTCCGGGGTCTCCTCCCGGGACTTGCCCGGGTTGTGTTTCGCCCGGGGACTCCCAGGGGCCGCCCCGCGCGCGCGATTTAGAAATATTGTTAACCAGTTGCCGGAGATCTTAGCACGCCTCTGGCCCGTTGGGCCGGCGAATGGCGATGCGGTCTTTAAGTGCGATGGGAGCAGCAGAACTCTCGGAGGTCCGCGTGGACCTCTTGCATCCGCGCTGGGCCCCCCTGGTGGAGTCTCCGGCGCCGCCTTCATGTCGCGCTCATGAGCGCGCCGTGGAAGGGGTCACGGGCCCCGCGTCGTCCCGAGAAGTCCGCGCGGGCCTCTGAGCGCTCATGCCGGAGGCGGCGATGGGGGCGGGCACTACACGAATTCGCCCGGCGGGGCGAATACAGCAAAGGGGCGGGCACTAATTGATTTCGAAGAAAGAAGCCATGAACGTGAACGTTTCTTCGCTCCGCGCGGATTTCTTGGATCCGCGCTGCCCCCCCCCCCGGCGGTGCGTCCGGCGCCGCCCTTGGCGCGCTCCGCGCGCCAGGGAGGGGGGGTCCAGCGCAGCTCCAAGAAATCCGAGAGGTGCGCCAATCGTTCATACTTACGGCGTTTTTCTTCTTCTATATAATTGCACGCATCGGCCATCGGCGCCACTAGACACGTGTACACGCCGATCGTTGAAAGTAGGTATTTTTGGATTCCCAGATCCCAATCTACTTCAAGCGCCTTCCTACTTCAAGAATTGGCACGCTTTGGCTGTGTTCTGTTATTCTCTGGGGGGGCCTGGACCAAATCAACTTAATCCGCCTTCCTACTTCATGTTTTTATCTACTTCTTCCGACCGACGTGTGTATGGTTTCCCCCTGGGGTTTTGCCCTTGCCGCCGCCCCCGATGCTATGTTCAGGAGGGAAAGAAACACACAGACACAATTCATCCTCCATTCCCCAGAAAATATAGGAAAACATGGAAATGGGGGGGTGGAAGACAAAAACCCAGAAAATATAGGAACATATGGGGCATCTTCTTATTTGTGTGTATTTATTTGTGTGTCCTGGGGCCCCTTCATATGTATCACGTGTACTCCAGATTTCGTAATAGAAGGGAGGGGGTCTGGACCCTCCAAGACAGGCCATTTCAGACCCCCCGCCGTGGGAGAACCCTCCAGAACATCGTCCCCAGACCCCCCCAGGCCCTCGAAGATAGCCTGGAGGAGACCCCCCCCCCCGAAAAGGAGACCACCCTCCCTGTATTAGGAAATCTGGAGTATGGTTTCCCCCTGGGGTGCGGCCCTTGCCGCCGCCCCCGATGCTGTGTCTCGCGATGTGCCCTCTTCGATCAGCTCGCGGACGCGGCGCCGCGGCTGGAGCGGCTGTGGCGCGCGGGCGGCGGCGGCGGCGCGCTGCGGAAGGCGCTGTTCACGTCGGACCACCGCCCGCTGAGCTTCGAGGAGGTCGGGGCCGGCGGGCAGGCCGCGGAGGCCGAGTGAGCGAGCCGATCCCGTTGCGCTGGGATGCAGTTCCTGGGAGGTGCAAACCCTTGGCATCGCTCGGACGTGTGCACTTTTCTTTCGGCGAGGACCATCGAGGAGCATCCTTGATCATTTGGCGAAAAAACCACGCACGAAACCGAAAAAAACATAGGGCGGTCCGATCCCGGGCGCTGCTATCCGGCCTCCTCCTCCTCCTCCTCCTCCTCCAGCTACAACTCCTCCTCCTCCTCCTCCTCCTCCTCCTCCTCCTCCTCCTCCTCCTCGTCCTCGTCCTCGTCCTCCTTCTCCTCCTCCTCCTCCTCCTCCTCCTCCTCCTTCTCCCTCCTCCCTCCTCCTCCTCTTCCGTCGTCCCACCGCTCCCGCGCTGCTCCGATTCCTGGGAGGTGCAAGCCGGATTCGGCCTCCCTGGTCGAAGCCCAGACCCCCTGGCGTCATGACCACATCACGGCAGCAGGTGCTCGGCTACTCTCGGCCTCCTGGGGCCCTCGCCGGGCCCGGGGACCGTGGTAAAACGACTCGTGATGGAAGCGCGGTCTCGGAGAAAGGGTCGGGACGTCTGGGGGCCCACGTCATGACAGAGTAATGACGTCGGGTGTCTGGGCAAGGGGCGACTGAGCCGGGTCAGCCTGGATTTTGCAGATGATGCGATATCAAGCCTCATCGAGCGGGAGGAGGCCAGATGAAGCGGGGTGAGGCCAGATGAGGCCAGTTCTCGACCAGGGATACGGCCCTTGCGGCACGCTGTGCCTTGCGAACAGAGGCGTGTCGATCCGGTCTTGGGGGCGGGAGGCCTGGAGGAAAGGCTCGCGACAACGACGCCTGGGGATTGGGACATGGATACTCCAGATTTCGTAATAAAAGGGAGGGGGTCTGGACCCTCCAAGACAGGCCATTTCAGACCCCGTGGGAGAACCCTCCAGAACATCGTCCCCAGACCCCCCCAGGCCCTCGAAGATAGCCTGGAGGAGACCCCCCCCCGAAATGAGACCCCCCTCCCTTTATTACGAAATCTGGAGTACCGTGTCGCGCCAGAGTAGTTTTGGGCGTTTGCTTTCGTCCTCGATGACTGTTTGACGATCCAAGGGCCTGGCGAGGGCACCCGCAGGCCGAAAGAAAACAGAGCACTACCTCGGGTCACGAGCTTGTCATGGCCCGAGGGAGCCAAGATTCAGGAGGGGAAAAAACACACAGACACAATTCATCGGCGATTCCCCCAAAAATATGGGAAAATATAGGAAGTGGGGGGGGAAGACAAAAACCCAGAAAATATGGGAAAATATTACGGATATTTTTATTTGTGTGTATTTATTTGTGTGTCCCAGTTCCCCTTCAAGTTGGTCATGGCCCAAGGGGGGGCCAAGATCCGCTTTCATGAGTCAATGCGTTGCCCGATCCACGTTAGTCTGGCTCAGTGGTCCTTTCATCGGGCCGAGTTGCTTTCATCGTTCTGCCGAAGACGCCCCCTAGCCTTAAGTCGGGCACGTCCCCCTACAGGAGGAATATTCAAAGAGAGCCGACGGAGGACGGTGTTTCGATTCTGATTTTTTACGATGTTGAAACATCTGTTTGACTACTAGGGAGCATGTTTTGATGATTGCTTGAGTTTCGCCCAAAGAGAGTCAACAAAATAGTCGGAGGACGATTTTTCGATGATGATTTTTCGACTATGTTTAAATATATGTTTAACTATTTGGGAGCATGTTTGATTTTCGCCCAAAAGTCGCCGGTAGGGGGACACGCCCGACCCGGCCCTGACCGTGTGCAGGCTCGCCGTGGCGCGGGCCACCCGTACGGCGGGGCCGCGCCCGGGGGGCGGTGCTCGCGCGCAGAAAAAGGGAGCGCGCCGTGAGGCGAAGGGGTCCCGAAGGCTCGGGGCCCCCCAGTCGGGTTGACCCGAGAGGGGTCCAGCGACAAGGGGGCGGTGCAATAGATTTGTTCGATGCTCGTTTCGGGGGCCTTCCTGGGGGCCACCTAATGGATCTGTTCGACCCCAGTTCGACTCCAGTTCGACTCAGGTTCGACTCGAGTTCCACTCAGGTTCGACTCAGGTTCGACTCAGGGTCGACCAAACTCGACTGACATTCGACGCAGCTTCGATGGGTATCAAACTCCCTGTGGGTAAGCTGAAGCACGGGCGGGTTGGTCGGGAGTTCGTTTCGGCTACTCCAAAGCTGCGTGTTCCCCTCGTCTGTATATCACACATAAGCGTTGTTACTGTCGCCCTCTCGACGTATGTCAGACTTTCGCTCTTAGGATTTTCAGATTTGGGGACACGTGCGTTTAACAGAACCACGGGTTAGCGATTTTTGGGGTTAGCGAAATCATCTTCGATGTTGTTTCGGACTTCACAAAATCAGGGAATTAACATTACGGTTGAATGGTGTTTCTTGGTTCGCAACCGTGCGGATTCAACGTTTGACCTAACGTTGTCCCGCGCCACGTGGAATCAGATGCATCGATCCGTCACTTCGGGCGTTGCCATGCATTCCGCCGTGCCGTTTTCTCTTTCCGTTTGGTGCCTGGGCGGCGGCTGTTCAACCGCTTGGTGTAGCGACGTGCGAACGTCACGGGTTACGAATGCGTCCGACTGCCCGTGCATGAGAACGCGCCCACTCCGTGCCGCAGGGCACGGTGGCGGATGCATTCGTTTGCAAACAACCAGTGTTATGCGTA